CCATGCCCCCTGCCAACCCCAAGAGTCATAAATTCTTATCTAAGGGATTACTAGACTTTTAAAGATGTCCTGGCATTTCTCAGAACAGATTGCTACTGTAACTGGCTGTTACGTTGTTTTAACTTATTTTCAACTCTTTGCATAGGTATTTAGTGAGTTTTGATTTGGTGAGATATCAGTGTGGAAAACATTGATATTACTTATTAGTAAGGCACTATTCATAATTGTTGTCACCATTCGTCCCCATGTATATAACTACTTTTTGTTTTTCATTTGATTACTTATTATTTTACAAGGCTGTTATAAAGTAACTTCTTGGCCCAAAGAAGTCTACTTGCAATATAAATGTTACTATTCATTGAATCCTATGTTCCATCCATTTTACTAAGTAATTATAATTTAATGTAGTCCTAACTGTATCCCTTTGAGGAATGCAATATCCATATTTTATATATGAGGAAATTGAGGTTCAAAGGGTAAATGATACGGCCATTGATAAATGGCAGAGTTACAATTTAGTTTTATAAATCGTCTATCGAGGTGTACTACCATAGAGGTCAGTAGTTTAAGGTATACAATTTAGTGGATTTTAAATTATATTCAGAGTTGTATAACCATGACCACAGTTAATACTAGAATTTTTTTTATCATTCCAGAAAGAAACCTTATGCCCATTAACAGCTGTTCCCATTTATCCCAAGTTCCCTGCCCCCAGCCCTTGGCAACCACTAATCTGTTTTCCATCTCTTTGAAATCCCTATCTTTGAAATTTTATATGAATAGAATCATATAGTATGGGACCTTCTATGCCTGATAACAATAAGATTTTGAACTGAGGTTTGTGTAACTCTTAAACTTTCTGTGTATGTGGGCCTGCATGTGTATACTATCTACAGTTATTATATTGCTTCCTACCATGAAGCGTGTTTTATTTTTACCATTTTATTGCTAAGTGGCTTCTGGATGAAACATGAATGATTTGACTTATTCATAAATTTCTTATTTTCTTATGATATTCATGTATTTCCTACTTGTGTAGAAGGAAATAGATATTTCTTTCTTTTTTTTTTTTTGAGAGGTTTTTGCTATAGGGCGCGTGTGCTCGGCAGACAGACAGAGAGACAGAAAGCGAGAAATCACCCCCCAGGGGGGATGGCCACACCACAATCCCTTCTCCTCCATTCTCCTCTCGGGATCTTGGGCACGCATGCACACGCGCCTGGTGTGAGTTTTAAGCCACTGGGTCTGGGACGCGAACCACGGTCGACTATGTGGGAGTCCAGCGACATAGCCATTACACTAACTGCTGGTCCTGGAAATAGATATTTCTGAAAATTTAATGAAGACAGAAAAATCTAGCCCAAATGTAATGTGCAACCTGCATGAATAGCCATGTGATTAATGATGCTTAATCGCTGCTCTTTTGTTCAGATGACCTTGGACTTTTTATTTTAGCCCTATTGCTAGCTTCACATGTATTGTTTGCGTGTAGTGGTCTATATAAAATAACCAACTCTTCGTTCTTACCATAAAACCTGCTGTCTGGAGAAGTTGCATGCTTGTATGGTTAATAAATGGTGTATTTAAAAAAGAAATCCAACTTAGACCTGTAGGTTTTTATTTTGTAGAAACTCTAATTGAAGATGGACTTTCTCTGCATTTCAGTGTTATAACAATGTTTATTATTGTTTTTCAACTTGCTATCATTATTGGAGGGAGAGGGGAGTGAGAAAGTAAGCTGCCAGGTCCATGACTCGAACTGTGATTGGCCAATGTGGGAGTCCAGTGCCCTAACCATCATGCCATCTGCTGGCCCTTGTATGACAATCTTCAAAAAGAAAGAACAAAAGAAAGAGCTGTCTTTTGAGAACAGAGTTCACGGGTATTACTTACATGAAACAGGCTGAAAAGCAAATGAGGCATATTATAGTCACCATTTGAATGTCTAATATTAGGTCATCAGGAAAGTTATGACTTTGTTTCTATGCAAAATATATCATGACTTTCCTGATAACCCAATATATGTTAAACACTGTGTTAAGTTCTTTTCAGTTCTATTAACCCTCCTCAAAATCTATACAAGTTTGGTAGTATTATTCCTGTTTCACAGTGAAGCCATTGAGGCCCAAAGACTAGATAATTTGCCTAAAAGTCATGTGATTAATCGGGATTCATATCTAAGGCATCCTTAGCACCAGAACCTATAATGTGCATAATCACCACACTGTACTACTCAAAAAATTGGACATAGCTGTTTTTTTTATTTTTTTATCTCTACCTGAATCTTAAGAGCTAAGGGGATTTTCAGAGGAGAAATCTATACCGTTTATACTCTGTAGTTTTAATATCTATTGACTAGCATGAACACAGAAATGACTTTTAAGGGTTTATGCATTTTAGCTTTGAACATTTATTCATAAAACTTGAGAAAAAGCAAGTGCTGGTCATTTGGTTCTGCTAAGCTATGTAAATACACTTTTCTGACTTGTTTTTCTAGGGGGATATCATGAAGAATATTTTTATCCTTCAGGTTAGTGAGCTCTAGATACAATCTGACATTCATCCTTGTTTATAGAATTCCAAACTATAACATAACACTCATTTTTTACTTTACTTTGACTATATCCTTTAGAGCCAGACTATGAAACTTCAGATGTCTATATCACAACTGCATCTACAGCAAACTTGGTAGGTACTTAATTGCAAACACTCATACCTCTATTCTGTACTAGGATATTGTTCTCAGAGACATACATATAACTGTGTTTAAACCAAAACAATCCTGTGAAGCAATTAGTATCATTCCCATTTTTTATGTAAAAAAATTGAGGTACAGAAATTAAGTAACTCATCCAAGTTACATCCATTGTCTGAAATTAATCTGCTTAGAGATATTCCTAACGTGTTGATATAAGACATTGACAGTGAAGACCTTTTAAAAAATTATTTAATATGAGAGAAAACACACAAACAGACCCCTGCTGGGGTTTTACCGTTCTGCAATCTTTTCACCAACCTTCCAGTCAGCCAGAATTATTGGTGCACCTGGGTCAGCCCAGAATTTGAACCCTGGGCTTTCTCATAGGTTCCAGTATTATGTAGCAGTATCCTACAGCCTATGCCATTACAACTGGGCTGGCAGTGGTGATCTTTTAGAGGATTTTATTATGATTTTTTTTTATCAGCCAGAATGGGCCATAAATCTCACTTAATATAATAAATATAATAATAGTTTGCTCTTGTCAGTTATAGTACATATCCAGTGGCGGCCTGTTGGAGGTCTTACTCTGGGACTCAGACTGATGGAAACTTTATCCATGATTGCCAAGGCAAGAAATAAAAGGTGGTAAATGCTGCCCTGGCTCTGTAGCTTACCCCAAAGGTGGAACGTGTCACTTTCTTTTCTATTGGCCAGAGTAGGTCCCGCTCTGCAGAGTATAACTTCTCTGTGCTTTAAAGACAAAAAAATTGGGAATATGTTTTTTCTTTTCTTTTTTTTTTTTTGAGAGGCTTTTGCTATAGGGCGTGTGCACTCGCCAGAGAGACA